ATGGTGAAATCCTGTCTCTACTAGAAATGCAAAACAATTAGCCAGGAGTGATGGCATGCACCTGTAATTTCAGCTTCTTGGGAGGCTGAGGCAAGAGAACTGCTTGAACCCAGGAGGCAGAAGCTGCAGTGAGCAAAACCGCGCCACAGCACTCCAGCCTGAGTGACAGCAAGATTCCGTCTCAAGAAAAAAAAAATTGAATTATTCTTAAAAATTAAAAAGGATTTTTTAAATTAATTTTTCTATTAAATATCATCTATCTGTATCAGAGAAGGATTATTTGCCACAAGAAACTGCCTATTAAAGTGAATTTGAAAGTAAAGTTTAAATGCAAAGAAAACCAGCAGTTTACAATTTCCGTATAGAAAATGGTTAAAAATATTGATCTTAGTTAAACAAAATCAAAGGAAATAAAACTAAAAGATGCTATTTTCATTTATCATAAAAAATGAATAAAATCCAGAATTGAGGAGAAGGTGAGAAAAAAAGCATTCGTTCTCTCTCATACATTGCTGGCATGAGCATAAGCTGGCCCAATGTCTTTTCAGAGGACAATTTGGTAGTGCCCACCAAAAGTTAAAATGTATGCCTTATTATACCCACTAATTTAAAAAAAAAAAAAAAAAAAGCCGAGAGCAGCTCACACCTATAATCCCAGCACTTTGGGAGGCCAAGGTGGGTGGATCACTTGAGCTCACGAATTTGAGACCAGCCTGGGCAACATGGTGAAACTCTGTCTCTACAGAAAACACAAAAATTAGCCAGGCATGGTGGTGCTCATCTGTAGTTCCAGCTACTACAGAGGCTGAGGCAGGAGAACCGCTTGCACCCAGGAGGCAGAGTTGCAGTGAGCTGAGATCACACCACTGCACTCCAGAATGGGCGACAGAGCCAAGACTCTGTCTCAAAAAATAAAAAAATAATTTTTTAAAAAAGATTATCTCTCTGGAATTTATGATTAAATGTTAGCTCTAACTTTTTGGTTTTGGTTTTCCAATTGGCATACCAGTATACCACAAAACTAAATGACCATCTTTTCCTCACTGATTCAAAATGCTTTAGTTATCACATATATAATTTTTTCATGTAACTATTGTCTGGGCTGTCTGTTGATGTGCTTGTCTATTCACTTCCTTTATGATATTCTATTACCTTATTGTCTATATCAGTACCACACTGTTTTAAATACTACAGCACTAAAGTATCTCAAATTCTATCACTCACTGACCATGAGACCTCAGTAAATCCCTCTAAGTCTCATTTTTTTTACATCGTTGTTTTAAGAAACAAGTACATAAAAGACGAAGCCAATTAGTGTTCTAGTCCTGTCCCTCACACAAAACAGGCATTCAGTAAATGATTGCTATTGTAATTCCTAACTATATAATGAAAGTAATAATGAAAAATGTTATAATTCATAACTTCTATTACAACTCATAATTCATGATGAAATTAGACTATGGGCAAAAATTCATGATAAGTTACCAAATATTTTAAAAATACAACTAACCTTTCTTCTCTTTTACTTCTCCCTGTGTGTTCAAGCTCCAAGGGAATTTGTCCCTGTGGGGAGATCATTCAGATTCTGGAAGATTCTCTGTTCTCCTAGGCTAATGGTGTGAACAGCAGAAGGAACAAAGAGTAGCTTATGTAGGGCGCTGTGGAAAAGGAGATTGGGTCAGTAACAAAGAGAAGAATTGGCACTCTACAAAGTTTCCCATAGGAAGGACTGAAAGCCTGCTGTTCACTGTTGCTTAGCAACAGGCAAATGTACAAGAAATAAGTCAAAGACATCATAAAATCAGGCAAATTTTACTCTCTCACTCACCCATTTATCATTTCTACATTGTGCATAAGTCAAAATGCGACTTCCAAAAAGTAAGCCAACCAGACAATAAAGGAAATGCAGCTCAAACATAAGCATAAAAATATAGTAGGTACCTCAGGGATAAATGTACAGATAAAAGTACATGTGCTTCTAGCTGGATTCCAGGTTATAGAACCATTCTGCTCAGTGCAGCAGGTACTTGTAAGTGTTTCAGAGGATGCATGGAAGAGTATGAGGCAGCCCATGCCTTTAAGAAGTTTAATATCTTCTGGGGTGGAGGAGACAGCTATGCAAACATCAGCGCTGCAGGCAGAATTAATGTCACAACTGAGGAACTCCAATTTATACGTCCTCAAAGGTGAGAGAGATCAAGGCTTGGAGGGCATCCAGAAAAGCTTCACTGAAGAGATACCATTTGAATTAACCTTTAAAAGTTAAACAGAAAAAAATTAAGTAGGATTTTTGACAGTTACATGAGGGAATAGAGAGTGCTTTTCAGGATATCAGGGAGGGAGTTTCAGGTGTGCCCAGAACAATGATAATCCAGATTTGCTGCAAAATAGGATTCTACTAGGATGGCACCGAAAGATAAAGTTGTTGCCTGATTATGGAGGTTCTTGAATTCCACATCCAGGGGGCCTGTGCTTCCTTTAATAAGCACTGAGAGGCTGGGTATGGTGGCTCATGCCTGTAATCCCAGCACTTTGAGAGGCTGAGGCGGGCAGGTCACTTGAGGTCAAGAGTTCAATACCACCTGTTCAACACGGCAAATCCCGTCTCTACTAAAAATACAAAAATTAGTTGGGCGTGGTGGCGTGCACTGTAATTTCAGCTAGTCAGGAGGCCGAGGCAAAAGAATCACTTGAACTAGGGAGGTAGAGGTTGCAGTGAGCCGAGATCATGCCACTGCAGTCCAGCCTGGGTGACAGAATAAGACTCTGTCTCCAAATAAATAAATAAATAAAGCACTGAGAGATAATTCGGGTGATACACCTTTAGGAGATTAATCTGGAAATGATAGTTCTGAGTGGGGTGGTAGAGAACCCTGAAATTAAGCAAGTGGTAAAGAAGAAATCTCAGCAGTGCAGGTGGGAGAGGAGGACAGTCTAATCTCAACAAGGATCAGGAATGGGAATAAGACAGATGATGGGGACATTACAGAGACAAAATCTGAAAATGAGTACCGATTAGGTACAAGGGATCAGCAGAGAGAAAGGGGTGAAAATTAACTCAGAGGTCGATAGCCTGATTTACTGAACAGCTGTAATAGATGAATGGAGTCATATGAGCAGAGGAGGGGCTGGTGGGAAGAGGAAGAGGAGGAGGAAATAAAAAAGAAGGAAATACTTTGAACTTGCTAAATTTGCTCATGGTACTATTCGGTGGTCGTGTCCAATAAGTGGAAGAAAATATAGAATTGGTGTTTAGAGAAAGGTCAAGGCTTTGGTAATTAGCAACATGAAGAGCATAATTGAAGCTATGTGAGTAGATTTAAACACAAAGTAAAGAGATTAGATCTCATCTCAAAGGAAGAAGAGGGCTGGTTAAGGACAGAACCAAGGGGCAGGAGGATGAGTGATTAATGAAGAGGACACAGAAAGACCCAGCGGGAGCTGGGAGGAGTTCCTAGCATCCATCACCAAGAGAACAACTTTTAGAAAGATGTGCAGGTGGGCAATTATGGGTGAGGTTTATTTTCTCTTTTTAAAAATTTTTCACAAAGATCGGAAGTACTTTTGTAAAAATATTTTTAATCAGTTTATTTTAAGGAAATCATTTGTTCTCAACAGAGGCAAATACCACAGAGACATAGGAAGATAAGGGCTGGGTACAGTATCACATATAGTGACAAAGAGGTTGTGTGTGTCCCTGTAGAAACAAACATGTTTCAGCAGAACGGGGAAGCAGGAAAGGATTGGAAGGCACACGGGAGGACCTTGCAAGTGACTCATTGGCAGCAGAGGGGCACAGGGTGGGGGAGCAGTGAGGCAGATAAGGAGACTGTTTTCAGGAAAAAAGTTCAGGCACATTTGTTGAAGAAGAGAAGGACAATAAGGAGGGAAAGTTGGAAGACTTGTGTAGAAGTAGAAATCCTTCACTCAGCAGCAGAGAGAAAAGGGGCAGGAGCAGGTGGGCTAGGAGTACAATATTAGCCTTGAAAAGCCAAAAGCGGAGACCTGTCTTCTAATGCAGAGCAGTATGGTGGAGGTGAAAACTAGAAAAGGAGGCCAAGAGATTTTAAAGCGAATGGAGGAGAGTTGAGGGATGTCTCGTTTGAACGATTCAAGGGGTCACTGAATTTAAGGAACGCATGAGAGGAGCCGGGAAAAGCCGAAAGGCAGTCTGCACACTGTTCACCAAACACAAAGGCTTTTTCTTCTTAAATCTTAGGTCTTAGACAGATATAGATAAACTTCTCATGTGAGTAGGGGAATTTCAGCAGGTCCCAATATCAACCAAAAGAAGTCACATCTGAACCCACAGACCTCAACCCATACAGAGGAGACTAACAGGCTGGGATACTATAGAGAACATGAATCACACAAAAATCTTAGGCCCCTAGCACTCAGAGGGACCTCCATGGGTCATCGGAGCATATCCACATCCCTGACAACACACACCACCACACATATGCAGCAATTACACCATGCTCTGTGTAGAGAATTAGACGCCAGAAACTCTTCCAGAGAAAGAAGAAGAGAGTCACCACAGTAGATGGCCAGAAAACTGTGAATTGATGAGAAGGGAAAGGTGGTTCACAGGATAAAGCCTGAGAAAACTGCAGTTCCAAAAATATTCCCCAGTTCCATTCAACAGATAAAATATTGCGTGATGTTTTAGGATCTTTGCATTCTGCTCCCAGAGGATTATTTTAAACACCAAGAGATAGATCACAGGAAAAGTAAAAGTTTCTGAATTCTTTGACCACATCAAGTTTCACAGGAACCACGGCCACACAAGCTACACGCTGGCTGAGTACATAACATGACGCTAGCCTATACTTCAGGACCTTTACTCTCACCTTGAATCCTATTTCATTGAAGTTATTTTTCTAATCATTGACTGCAGCAAAAGGGAGAAAACATTCCATATGGCAAAGAGAAAAGCTATGTCCCTTTGAGTCCATGCCTTCTCCATAAGGATCCCCTTGAAGTTTTTCATCAGTTGTGGTTCAAGATGTCCCATACCTTGAGGAACGGCACCTCTCCAGCACAGCTCTCAGCCTGGGGTTGCTGAAGAGCAAAATGATGGGGCAAACGGCTGCACACAGATAAATCACTGACTGCCACATCCAGAATTTAAAGTCCAGAGGTAGAAAAATACCTGCAGCACTGAACACCAGTGACAGGAAATAGGAGATGAAAAGGACAGCAAGAGAGATGAGAACCAGCAGAGCCTTTATGTGTGTCTGCAAACAGGGCTCTCGGAATCCCAAGGTGGTCAAGAGGGCCTTCTTCATGTGTCTTCCCAGAGAGGTGATGAGCAAAATCATGCAAATGAAAAAGACAGCAGTGGGCACTGTCCAGGTAACCATGTTTAGAGGGAAGAGGTAGAATTTCTCACAGGAGCTCTTTATGCTGTTGCCGGTAACATTCCAAGGTTATAGACGGTTCCTTAAATAGTTCTGATGTATTCTCTGGTTGCCTATGGAAAACAGAATGGTGCTGAAGCTGAAGAGCCCAAAAGAGCCGGACAGCATCCATGGTGCCCACCCAGGCAACTTGCGCTTTAGCCAGAGGAAGACAGGGTGAGTGAAGTTTGCAATTTTCACACAATAGAAGACACTAAGGCAGGAAGAGAACCACAACGTGGCAGCATTCAGGAAGTCCCACTGGATGGCTAGAAACTGCAGTACAGGGTTGTATGGGAAGGCTGTCGGATACAGGAAAACATAAATGGTCTTACCCAATACCACCCACTGTAGACAAAGGCGAGAAGCCCCTAAGCTAACCAACAACTTATCACAAGGCAACAACATTCTCTGGAGCACCGACTCCATGCCAAGGACAGCAGTGACAAAGCCATTGCCCACTATTGCTACCAGGCACAAAAGGAATAAAATGATAACCAAGATGATGGCCTTGTCAGTCACCAAAGATCCCAGAACCATGTGGTCTCCATTCATCTCTCCTGGATCCCAAAGCTTCAAGGGCTATTTCTGCTGCATTGCTCTGGAAGGTCCTGTAGTATATGTTTGTCCCTCCAGCTGCCCCAAATGCAGAGGCTAGGCCAGAGTAGAGGACGCAGCCTATCGGAGGAGAGTGAAGAGGTTTCTTCTTCTAGGAATAGATGCAAATCTTGTCAAGGCTTAATTTCCAAAGCCCCCATCCTGCCCAAAAATTTGCCTGCTCTTCTGCCTATTATCTGCCCATGTCAACATTAAAGTGGATAATATGTCAGGCCCTGGCATTTAGTGTTTTTACACAGGAGGCTATACTTCTCTAAGCTGACACTTAAGACAGGACCATGCACCTGCTGGCAGCTCAGTAGTATCATCCACAGGGCACACCTGCTACTGAGACAGCACTCACATTCACAGCAGGGAGTGATTGCTATATTGCAGGGACTGTTCTGAGTACTCTCCTTAGTTCTCACAACTCCGTGAAGCAAGTGCTATGGCAAGATCCCTTTGACTAAGATAGAGAGAAAACTGAGCAAACCTTTACAGAGAAAGGTTAATTCAAGTCTTATTACTCACAGTGACCATCATCATAAAAAAAGAACACAGGAGACAATTATACATAATGAAGCAAGCAATTTTCTTCAAAATTTGAAGTATATATTTTATAACTGGTGACCTCTAAAATACCATTTCACAGAGGAACCCCCAGTAGCCATAGGCCAATGGGATACGGCAGAATGAGCCCTATACTAGGAGCTGAGATCGCATTTAGCCCAAGCTTCACCCCTTATTGTGAGTTGTTCGATTTGTCAGCCCCTCTGTACCTCATTTTGTCCATCTGTAAAATATGCAAAGTATCCTATGTTCTAATTCACAAAGTTGTCTTAGAATCTCACCTTAGAATGGAAGAATACATTAAAGATAATCTTACAGATAAAAGAAATAAGGCCCAAATTATGTATTAAGACTCCCACCTAAGGTCACAGTGGTGCAGAGGAAAGACCAAGATCTAGAATGATTCCAGCACCAGAAATCTCTGCCATAGTTAGCAACACATGTTACACCTCCATCTTCTTTCATCCTTAGCTGAACTCAGAAGCCCAAGTTTTGAGTCTTGTCACAATCGCTACAGATCCTCAAGCTGTCAGTGAACCTCTCTGAATGCCCCTTTTTTTCAACTGTAAAAAATATGGATCACAAATAAATATGACCATAAATATGGTCAATATATTGGAAACTATAAATCTCTGCATATGGACAAGAGTAATGATGATGATGACAATGACTTTATTAGAATGGCTATCTTCTGTTGCATCCATCCTGTGGCATAATAACTAGTGTAAAATTCAGGAGAGCATCAGGGATAAACAGAAGTCCAGGGCACTAAATCTCAGACCATTGATATCAGCCAGAGGAGGGCAGAGTAAGAAAAGACCACATTCTTTATAGGAATGAGCTTCAAAGAGTTAAAAAAAAAAATCAGCAATCAACACCCAGGTGAGTGTAAGTAGGTTAACGTGTCACAGGGAGATGGGAAAGCAGAAATTGTTCTGAGTCAAATACAGCGACACTGAAGGCTCAGGATCAAGTAACATGACAGTAAGGGGGTTTTTAATAGAATACACATCTGGTTGGCACCGCAACCTGCCGGTTCCATATACAGAACCCCCATGAAAAGGGAATCGAAGGCATGTCATCATCTCTTCCCAGTTCCCAATCCACTTCCAGGTGGAATTGTTTCTCCAGCACGTAGGCCAACCATCGTGGACATAGCTTTTCTAGGTAGAGGAAAGAAGATGAACTAAGGTAATTTACTCACTCCGCCGTTCTGTGAAGATGCAAATTTCCAGGGGATAGAGTTCCCAACTGCTCTCTTCCTTGCCCTTGTTCTGGCTGATATTTGGCTGTTTTCTACTGGAGCCTAGAGAAGTGGGGAAAACTTTGGGCTTACAGGTCTGAAGTATGGCCAGCCACAAACATCCCAATATGGGAAACTTTAATCTTTTTCATCCACCTCCCACACCTTCAATGATAAAGATGTGCATTTAATCTTCAATTGATTTAATAATAATTTATTAAGAATATTCTATATGCCATGATAACCCTTTGAAAGACATTAGGCTACAACAATGAATTAGATATCTGCCCTCAAAGCACTTTGATGTGCTAAACATAAACCACAAACATTTACTAGGCTTATACTATGTGCAGAATAAGTTAATCCAAGAGAGAGAATGATCATTTGAATTTAAATATGCAATGTGTTTCATGGTGATTCTTTTGTGGTTGTTTTTTTGTTTGTCTGTTACATTTGGCTTTCTCATGTCCAGATTAATCTTCTTAGGTAAAAGCCAAGACTGCGAGTTTTTAACTTTTTATAACCAGTCTTTATAATTGTAATCACAATGGAGGTAGGATAGGGATCCTGAGTTGGCTCTCTATATGGAAAACCTTCAACTCAGTGCTCTCAACAAGTGACTCCCAGTCTGTGGCTCTACAAGTTAGGGATCATCCTAGTCCCATTCCAAGATTTCTCGGAAGAATTTTGCAGTAACAGCCCCATTGTGAGACAACAACGATACTGTCTTGTATGTTGGAAGGAAAAAGATGAGGCATCAGTATAGGAGGGGATATATAATTATATCCAGAACAATTAGCTACAACAGAGGACTTACATAGAGGTTATGGCATATCAAGCCAAAAAGGTAGGCTGGAGAGAGGTCACAGAAATTTTGGGAAGTCTTGACGAGTTATTAGATTGTATCTTTAGTCAAGATACAATCTTATGAGCTAGAGTTTAAATCTCTTATGAGCTAGAGTTTAAAAAAGGAGACTGAGAACATCAACCACTTAGGAACTCCTGAGACAAGTACACTTAACCTGGCATCATTCAAAAGACTATGAAGATGGAAAAGAACATGAGAGTTGAATCACCACCTGCTCCCCCTCTGCCAGATAGTTTCAGTAAAGTTCTTGGAGCTCCGCCCAAGGGAAGGGCAGTCTTCAGGTATTCACAGTTCAGTAGAAGGATAGAGGAGACAGATACCCCTATCCCTGCCATGCTCCTGCCTTCCCTGCCTCCATCCAACTTGTGGCTTGAGCCCCAAGGCTCAGTCCCATAATTTATTATTAATCTCCCTGTAGGAAGTCATTAGCTTGCTCATGTTGCCACAAAAAAAGAAAGAAAAATTCTTCATGATTGATGATGAGGATAATATGTGTTCTCTAGGGGGGATAATTCATAGACTTTAGGTGTCTATTTAATTTCAAGCCTGGCCACAGTGCCAGCTTCCCACAGGTTCCTCCATCCTGCCTCACTCTCACTCTGCCCCCTGGGGAAATCTCCCTGTATTCTTCATCAACCAACTTGAGAATCTCCTCCTTTAATCATCCTCTTGCAAGAGAAAAATTCCTGACCTTGTTATTTTGCCTCTGGTCATCCCTCTCTCTTCTATTGCCATAGCCTGGCTTCCAGCTAGCACTGCAGCATAATGTTTTGGGGCCTCAGCTTCCCAGTATTATTGAACATTTAACCATAAATGCATTTACCTATTTGAAAATTATTTGTAACCTCTCTTCTGTCCTGTTATTTATTGCTTCTGTTTTGACGAATTTGAACATACAATTCTCTCTTAACCATGCCTAGTGTTCTTCCCAATCTCTTTTAGTTTATCGGTCTCCATACTTTTTATCATTAACTCCACCAGTAAAATATAGATATGTGAACATACAACCCACCAGCTATAAACTGCATGTTTGTATCCTTCCAAAATTCATACATTGAAATGAAACCTTAATCCTCAATGTGATAACATTGAGAGATAAGACTTTTAGGAGGTAATTAGCTCATAAGGGTGAAGCCCTCGTTAATGGAATTAGTGTCCTTATAAGAAGAAACACAAAACAAATAAATCTCTCTGCCATGTATGAACACAACTAGAAGGTGTCTGTCTGCAACCCAGAAAAGGGCCCTCACCAGAACCCAACTATGGTGGCACCCTGTTTCAGGCTCCAGAACTGTAAGAAATAAATGTCTGTTGCTTAAATACCCTGTCTATGGCATTCTGTCACTGCAGCCTAGGCTGACTAAGACACTACCCATAGGCATATTTATTTTTAATTGTATGCATGTACATTTTACAAATACGTTATGTGCATCATAAAATGTCCAAAACATAGGGATTAAAAGGAGAAGACAAAAATAAATGGAAATTGAAATTGCTACACTTTTCTTTCCAGGCCTAGTGACTCATCTTGTCCAAGCCCTGGGATGCAGACATCCCAATCTGGAGATTCCCATCCTCAGCAGCAGCATCAGGGATCCATCTCCTTGGTGAGCAGATGAAGAGTAGGATCATCAAAATTAAGTACTGTAGGACATTTCCTTTGTTTTCCATCTATCTTCTGTTGGCCAAAACCTAAAAGCATTTTTACATCAGATAATTTCTTTTAATTCAACACGAGCACATGAAGTCATGGATGTGACCTACAGTAGAACCAAAATCTTATGTGTCCTTAGCTTTCTGTGAGCTCAGGCTGAAAAAGTTCCCTTAAGCAGAGCACAAGGGAAGGGAATGACAAAGATTGGCGGAGAAAGGAAAGAAGAAAGTATTGGGCAGGCCTAAGAAGCACATGAGGAAGAAAAAGACATGGGGGAAGTGGAGAAGATTTATTAGGCTGAAGTGGAGAGACGGGGCTGAGAGCACAGCCATGGAGCAGGAGGGCAGGTGATGTCAAGTGGATGGTGCTGGACAATCTATGTCACTATTAAAAAATAAGCTTCAAGGCAGAGCATGGTGGCTCACGCCTGTAATCCCAGCACTTTAGGAGGCTGAGGAGGGTGGATCATTTGAGGTCAGGCATTCGAGATCAGTCTGACCAACATGGTGAAGCCCCGTCTCTACTAAAAACACAAAAATTAGCCAGGCATGGTGGCACATGCCTGTAGTCCCAGCTACTCTGGAGGCTAAGGCAGGAGAATTTCTTGAACTCAGGAGGTGGAG